GGGGGTTGGGGGGTGGGAGGAGGTGGGCCTGGTGGCCTGGGAAAATACCGTTTTAATGTGAAATCAAGTCTAGATTTTGTGTTTAAATGAACCTAGTGGAGAAGGTCACGGTTCTCCCCAGGGCACCTGAGGTAGCATTCCCAAGGTGTGCTCTGGCAGGGGCTATGAGCAGAGGGCTGCCAGCCGCCACCTATGGCTTCCCAGACCCTGAACCTAATGCTCTGAGAAGGTGCCTGGGTGACACAGCCAAGGTGTAAAGAGAATCACACTCATCATTCCTAATCTGACTCCATCCTGCCGTTTCCTTGCAGATCCAGGTCTCTATCACTTCCTGTTTGTATTCTCAATAGTAGTTATCATAGTTGTGGAAGTTCCCACATGTCAATAGTCACAGCATTTGAGAGCTGGCCCAAAGTGATTAATTACCTTGCCCAGCACGACAGGGAACTAGTAGTTCTCATGCACATACTGTTGGTCATTTTCACTGAGCCATCTTCACAGCCTTTTTCTGGGTTAGGAAGGAAGCCTAGGTGGCACCATTTGAAAGCTCTGAGCTGTGCCTGGTGGCAGAGCCTGCTCTTTGATAGAGGGCCTCTCAGGAAGCCTTCTGGGGAGGCAACTGGCCCCTACTGCCCTGCTGGAGCTTTGCTGAACTTAGAATAAGGCTGCTTAGCACCTTCACCTGCTTAACTTTGAGCCTGCCTCAGCTGTAATTCCATGTCACAGGATTAAATGCTCTATGTGCATTATCACACGTATTCACTCCTGCTTTTCAGAAGTGGTTTTCCAGATTATAAACACTGGTTCCATGTGTGATGAGAAATGGTTAAGGCTTCAATACTGAAAACAAGAGGGTGGAGAAAAATTCACCACAGTCTAGTGGCCTTTCTTTCCGCCTATGAAGCCAACCCCTGGGGCAGTTGGGATGAGGCTGAGGAGAGGCTCTGGATCCGAGGTACCTGTGTTTGCTGGGAGTCTCTGGGGATGCCCGTGGGTCCCCTAACCAGACACCCTCTCCACAAAGCCCATTACAGGGCTCTTGCCACATTGAGCTGCATTTCTAAAGAAAGGCCACATTTCACTCTCACAGCCCATTTCCCTTGATTGATGCTTTTATTTTCTTTTTTATTAGTATTTATTATTATTTATGCCTACAGTACCTGGTATTCCTAGGTGGTCTCCCATCCAAGTACTAACCAGGCCTGACCCTGTTTAGCTTCCGAGATCAGACATCGAGCTTTTTCAGGGTGGCATGGCCGTAGACCATGGACTGTGACTCCACTGGGGCATGAACCCAGGACCTTCTGCATGTAAAGCAGCCGTGCTAACCACTACACTATGGAACGTCTGATCGATGCTTTTAGATGGAGGCTCCCTACACACTTCAGGGAAGACATGGCATAGCTCCCAGCATATCCCAGATGGGAAAGAAACGACCCTCTGTTGCTTGCTTTACAATGAATCAATAAGAAGTTATTTATTTTCTAAAAGCATAAAAACACATACAAAAAGGGACTTATTCTTGGCTAGAATTAAGAGATAAAATTGTTGTAACAAACGACCCAGTGGGCAAGGCCACCGTAGAGAAAATATTGCTTCTAAACCATTAATTATCTTAATCACCACTTTGCCCCAGACTCTTTAGAAGGTTACTACTTCTAAATTAGACATAGACAAAGAGTTAGTTTTATTAAACCAGACTCATAAAAGTAAAGTTGTGCTTCTTCAGGTTGACAAAATAAAATTCCAAGGCTCTGAGGAAAATAATCTTATGTCAATCCCAGGGAACTTTTCTCCCCAAGAGTTGATTGGTCACTTTCTGTGGAAGAAAAGAAAGACAGGAAAGAAGTTAGAAACTTTTGCTATCAGGCAGACAGGCAGTCTTTACCCCAGACATATTGCTGGAGACCAGAGTGGTTCTACCTTCCAGTGTGCTTTATCTTCTTCAGCTACAAAAACTATGGTACTTATATAAAAAATACTTCCCGAGGTGTTTAAGATGATTTATAATCAATATCAATTACACCTGTCCCTCGATTTACGTGGTATTTTATGTGAGGTTTTTATTCACAGTAAATATTCCCTCCATTTATGTGGACTTTTTATATGCAGTTTCCATTTATGTGGTTCTTTTTCATTTCCATTATTGGCGATTACTCTTTCTAAAAAACAATAGCTCAACTCAGCAACGTACAAAGAACTAATACTAGCACACAATTGTTAATGATCTCGTTCACTGGATGGCAAATAAAAAAGCACAGGTGACTACTGATGTTTTTTGGGATTGGTTTATAAATGTTTTGTTGTAGAAGCTGAAAACTATATGAAGGAAAAATGTCTTCCTTTTAAAATACTTTTACTTTTAGATAATGCACCTGGATCATCCACATAATTTAGAACATTCAAATATAAAAGTTGTATATTTGCCACCAAATACATCTTCCTTGATCCAACCTTGAGATCAAGGCATTATCTCCACCTTTAAGATTAATTATGTTAAACAAAATTTTAATATTTTTAATAAACTTGAAGATAATGAATCACTTAACAGTTACAGAAGCCTGGAATAAATACACAGTTTTAAGTTGTATCAAGAATATTGCTTTAGCTTTGAGTGATATAAAGCTGTCAGCTTTAAATGCTTGCTGGAAAGCAATATGGCCAGAACTGGTTGTACCAGGGAATCGGGTTCCAAAAATTGAAGAGGGATTAACTGGCACTATTAATTTATTAAATAAATTTCAAGAAGGGTCTGACAATTTGAATGTGAATGATATTAACAAATTACTGGTTGATCACAAATTAACTGATGATGAACTAATTCATTTAATATCTGAAGCCACTCCTGTTGATGAATATGGATGGCAGTGACCTTGAACTAGTTTTATTCACTGCAGAAAATATTTACAAAGCTCTTCTACTGGCCACAAAACCGGAAACTGCAATTCTAGATATCGATCCAAACATCTAATGAGCCATAAAATTTCAAAAAGATTTTTTAAAATGTAATGAATATCGAAAAATTTATGAAAACTTAGCAAAAGGTGGGGTTGGAAAAACATCACCCAAAAAATATAAACATAAGCAATGAAACTGAAGTAGTACTTCCAAATATTTCATGCAGTAAAGACAGTGACTTTGTGCCAGTTAAAAAGAGAAGGTTGATTGCTTTAGATTATAGTATAGGCACCAACAGCGAATAAAATTTATTTTGGTTTTCTTGAATTTTCATTAGCATCTTTTGTGAAAACATGTGAAATAAATATTTTTATGATTTATATTGGCCTATTTCTCTAGTACTTTTTTTTTGAACTGGTGGACTCTTTATGCAGTTTTCTTCTACGTAAAAAGTAGACGCATGGAACAAATAATCAGTGTAAATCAAGGAGTGGGTGTATTTCTATACAAATACAGATAATCTATGATCCTGATAGACTTATCCATCCATCAGTTCACAAACACACAAGCACAATGAAAGGCCTGATGCTGACACACTGGATAGGCCATGCACTTGAGGGAGCCTGGCCAGAGCTCTAGGGTGTGCTCCAGCAATTTCCCAATCCCACATTCTGGTATGAACTTGTCTTTCGGAGTCCTCACTGTCTAAAATGAGGAGTCCTCACTGTCTAAAATGAAGAGTCCTCACTGTCTAAAATGAAGAGTCCTCACTGTCTAAAATGAAGACAGTGAAGGATATGGACCTTCAGGCACAGCAGCCCCTCTGGTTTCTCAAGGAATTAATTGCTAGCAAGTCCCCTGGTCTGTGAGGTTCTGGGCCCTGCAGCATCACTGACTCCACTGAGGCTGTGGGCAGGAATGGTGGCAGTTTTGAGGCTCTGTCTCCCTAAGCTGCCAACTCTTAAGCTGTACTTGGACATTTTCCAGTTTATTTCAAAAGTTCTAGAGGAATGTGATTTAACCATAAGGGGAATAAATCTATCACTTGGACCCTGGAATGAAAACCCAACGACTCAAATAGAGTGAACATTTTCAGCATGACATACATCTAAACTCACTCCTAAGAATGAAATGTGGCTTCCTTCCAAATGTATGCCTGGATGGTACCCTTTTAAGATTTGCCTTTTTATTTTTAGATTTGAAATCTAGCCACAGGTGCCTTTATCTTCCGAATTTCAGCAGTGGTACAAAGCATTATGAGTTTAAGTTCACTCTCCAAATACTGTTAATTCAAACAGGTCAGGTGTGTTTCTCTCAATTTATTTTTCCCTTGCTGAACCTGATCAAGCCTTCTCTAGGGCTGACTGACCTTTTTATACAGCTGGGCTCTCAAACGGTATGACCTATATTCCAGTCTTCTCTTTTCCTCTTCTCTCTTCTTCTGTATTTCTGGAAGCTGCTCATAAATCCTTAGGAATGGCACAAGTGGAAATACAGAAAGCAGAGAGGTTACCAGGCTACAGGGAGACACAGGTTCTTCCATCACACCTCCCTAAGATCTATTGCTTTCAAGGCATTTGGTCCCTCCAGGACAGGCTCTGGGCCCCTGTTGTGTGCCCAGCTTCTTGTTTGACATTTGGACACAAAGAACCCTGGCCTGGGGTGCTTATGATCTGGAAGGGGAGACAGATAAATAAAAACACAATAAAATCCTAATAGTGGTTACTCCTGGGAAAAGAGTGGGACAAAGAGGTGGAGATAAACTGCTTTTGACTCTACATACGAAAATGTATATTTTCAATATAAGATAATAAACATATATTAATATTATATTTTTAAACATAACAGAAATAAAGGGAAAGAAAAGTACGATAATGCTCATATCTCCAAAAGGCTACACAGTGTTCATAGAAAAAGAAATTTATTCTGACAAAAGATCAGGGAAGACTGGAGAAGAGATAGCACTGGAGGTGGGTCTCGAAAAACAGGGGCAGAAAGTGGAAAGAAGAAGGCAGTATGGTAAGAATGGAGTCGAAGCTTGACAGATTGGAGTGTAGGTGAGCAGGTGGGAAGCAGACGGGATGAAGGTGAGGTGGGCTGTGGAGAGTCTTGTAGCCATGTGAAAACCTGGGGCTATGTCTTACCAGGGATGGGATGCCACTGATTTTAAGCAAGAAGGAACATGATCAAACATACATTTGATAAATTGGAAATAATCTAAATTTCCAACAAAAATGAATTAAACAGATTATGGAATGTAATGGAATTATTACAAAGCATAAAGAAGATGTTTCAAAGAATTTTTAATGATATGGGAAAATGTTCACAATATAATGATGAGCAAAATGAAGCAAGCTACAAACCTGTATATATGGTTTGATCAATAATTTGGGGTAAAAAAATGTGTCAATACAAGTCTCTGCAAAACCCCAACTCCTGCCAGAAACAGGAAGAGTGTTGTTTAGATGGAAGGATTCTGAGTGGCATTTATTTTCTTATTTCTATTTTTCTCTATATTTTTCAAAGTCTTCTACGATATGAAAAAAAAATCATTGGAAATGATGTAGAGACTCTGTGGAAAATATGTTAGAGAAGGGCGTGGAGCTGGGGGAGAGCGGAGGCTGGCCTGCATCAAGATTGTGAGGAGTGGCTCAGGGCACTCAGGAAGCTGAGTCTCTAGGACAGGCTGGATGACTGCATATGCAGTGATGGGTGACACAGCTGGAGGTGACCACGCTCCAGCTTTCTAGTTGGGTGAGTGGGTGTCCCAAGCAAGTATGGGAGTTCTATTTTGGACACAGGAAGGAGAATCACTAATTGAAAACACAAAAGTGGAGGTCAGCAAAGAGACTGAAGAGGAATAAACATACATTTTTGAAAGTCACTGTTCATGAAAACCACAAGGAGCTAACATTTTGCACCTGTTAGGATGGCTGTTATAAAAAAAAGACAAGAGATAACAAATGCTGGTAAGGATGTAGAGAAAAGGGAACCTTGTGCATTGTTGGTGAGAATGTAAATTGGTGCAGCCACTATGGAAAAGAGTATGGAGTTCCTCAAAAAAACTAAATAAAAAACTACCATATGATCCAGCAATCCCCCTTCTGGGTATATATCCGAAGGAGATGAAATCACAATCTCGAAGAGATATCTGCACCTCCATCTTCATTGCAGCATTATTCACAATAGTGAAGACAACATGGAAACAATCTCAGTGTCCATTGATGGATGAATGAATAAAGAAAATGTGATATATACACATATGTGTGTGTGTGTAATCACACGATGAATTATTCAGCCACAAAAAAGAAAGAAATCCTTCCATTTGCAAGAACATGGATGGATCTTGAGGGCAATGTGCTAAGTGAAATAAGTCAGACATAGAAAGACAAAACTGTATTATCACACTGTTTTTATAAGTGGAATCTAAAAATATCAAACTCATAGAAACAGAATAGAATGATGGTTGTCAGACGCTGAGGGGTGGGAAAATGGGGAGATGCTGGGCAAAGGGTACAAACTTTCAGGTATAATTCCTGGGGATCTAATGTACAGCATGGTGACTCTAGTTAACAATGCTGTGTTATAATGTATACTTGAAAGTTGCTACAAGGGTAGAATTTTGATGTTCTCCCCATAACAACAACAACAACAACAACAACAATCACGACAAAGTAGTAATTATGTGCGATGAAGGAAGTGTTAACTAACTTTATTGTGGTAAAAATTTTGCAATATATATGTGCCAAATCATCACATTATACACCTTAAACTTACACAATGTTATATGTCAATTATATCTCAGTAAAAATTAAAAAAAAAAAAAAGTCAGTGTTAGAGAAGGGATAATAAAGGTCATCGGAAAAGTAGATTTATCCCAAGGAGAACATGTGGTGTGAAGGGAAAAATCTGCTAGGACCAGGAAAGGTTGTGTTCCAGGGCTGGAAAGCTGGGAGCCAGACTAATCAGTAGCCAGAAATTATATTTGGTAAATGGCTCCTTGAAAGCAATTATTACATATCATTGGACCTGTCTGTCTATCTACTTGTGGTCTGGCGTCAATTATCTTTCACCTCTGCTACCTAGTCCAGTGCCCGGCACACACATTAAGAAGTTATATATGCATGAAGTTAGTGAAATATATGCATTAATAAGTTTGTGAAATAACTGGGAGAAATGCTTCCAGTTAAGAGTCGAGTTCTCTCTTCTCTAAATCCTTTCTTCTCACCTGAAACTTTTAAACATCTTTGACAGAGGTAAGCAATGAGAGAAGACAGTAAGTAACACAGAGACCAAGGAGTACTGGATGGGGAGCCCCACATTGGGCTCTCACCCCTACCCTGGCCCTGACTTGCTGGGCTACTTTCTCTCTCTGGGTTGCAGTTTCCTAACAATCAAGGGTGGACCAGATGATCTTTAAGATTCCATTCAACTCTGATTCTCAGATGAAAGTAGACGGCTTCCTTGAAAAAGGGCTATACCATTTCACATGGGTACCAGTCTTATTGGGGTGATCACTTATTAAGTTATATGACTGTCTAATCACTATGTTGTACACCTGAAACTAAAAAAAAAGGGAGGGGGCCACACCATAAATAAAATTGAATAGAAGCACTCTATTGAAAATGTATCAGTTTAAAACCTGAGTCTCTTCCCAGAGATGGGTACTTAATCCACTTCTACAACTATATTTGTTTTAAAGCATTGGCACCTTATAGAAGATGCCCTGCCTCTCTTCCTGTAGGCAAGCTCCATAGTTTCTTACAAGCAAGAACTCCTCTTACTGAGGTAGAGTGTAATTAATTAGCTGCCACACAATGAACACCGTGTAATTTCCCCTAATTACATTTTGTGACAGAATGAAGCAATGGTTTTTAAATTTTTTGGACTTAGGACCCCTTTATAATTCTAAAAATTGAGGCCAATTTTGGTCAATATGAATTTTATCTGTTGATACTTACTGTATTAGAAATTAAAACTAAACATTTTAAAAGTACTTATTTCTTAATTCACTTAAAAATAAAAATAATAAGCCTGTTACATGCTAACATATATAAATAATAAATACATTCTCTGAAATAAAAATATTTTAGTAAGAAGAGTGGTACTGTTTTACATATTTTGAAAATCTCTTTTAATGTCTGGTTTAATAGATGACAGCTGGATTCTTATATCTGCTTCAGTATTAAGTCTGTTGTTATACAGTGTTCTGGTTAAAGTATATATTTTTAAAAAATCCAGTTTACACACATATGTGTAAGACAGGAGTATTTTAATATTCTTTTTCAGATAACTGTTGATTTTCTTGAAACTACACCAAAACTTGACAAGTGGTAGTCTCTTAAAAATTAGTTGGAATGTGGAATCTGAAACCATATCAATGAACTTTTTGTACTCTGTTACATAAACAGAGGACTTCAGTCTATCTTGCATTTTGAATGGATCTTCTATTCCTGCCTGATTTTGTTAACATCATGCAACAGTCATTGGCAAAATCCTGATCCAGTGACTTATGCAGATCTTTCAAATGCTGACAGGTTTACTTACATAATAACATTGTATTTGTTAATGTCACTGCTGATCTTATTAGAAAAGTCTAAGCACTGAGAGGCAGTCAGGCTCCTAGCGGTAGATACAAGTTTTCTAGAATTCTATTCTTTGCTTGAAAGCTCGTATTTTCTCTTTGGCAATGAATTCTGTCACCTGTTTTCCCTGAAGTGATAGATTTTCTTCTTCATTTTCAAGAAAACATCATATATCCAAGTCAGAATAATCAGTTTATCTGTCATTCTTTCAAGTAAAAAGCTGTTTTCCATGAAAAAGGCAGTTCTGCTCACTCCACGAACCTCAGTGTAAGTGCTCTTCCCTAAACCAATCATCAGTCTTGGTATGCAGCAGAAGTGCTTTCTGTGTACTTCCATTACAGTGTTTGTAGGTGGCTGTGAGGAATACAATACCGACTAGACAAAGCACAGTTTGGTGACACTGTCTCGAATAGTGTTAAGGCACCAGCAGTTCTACTCTCTCTCCCATTACTTTTGCATCACCAGTGCAAGTGTCAACACAGTGAATAAGGCATAGTACATCCTAGTATTATTTTGAGATTTGTTTTGAGCTGGAAAATCCCCTGAAAGGGTCTCAGCAACTTCCAGGGGCTCATGACTACACTTTGAGAACCACTTGATTAAAGCATCCCTTTGAATTACCTATAAGGCAAGGGTTTACTAAATGAAGAATAAAAACAAAATTTCAAAAATGCTTTAGTTACCTAAGATAAACTATTTTCAAGCAGCATGTTGACTATAAAACTGTCCTTACTTAAGGAGGTAGCTAATGAACTTGTAAAAGGTAACTAATTCTTAACTTAGTTATTTCACGGCATTCTCATTATCAATATATGCATATCTCTAATTAATAGCTAATGCATACAATGACACAAAATTCAAAAAGTATAAACGGGCCAAAATTTAGTCTTTCTCTTATCTCTGTACCCCAGTCACTTAGTTCTTTTTCCCAAAGGCAACCACTATTTCTAGTTTTTTGGGTATCCTTCCAGAGATATTCTAAGCATACAAAGTATTTGCATCTATATAAGTACAAATACTTCTTTTTAAAGACCAAAATAGTAGCAGTATATACATGCTTCTCAAACTTGATTTTTTTTTAAAGCTTAACTTAATGTGTCTTAGAGAATACTCCATTATTTCTCACTATACTAGATAAATTTCTAGAAATGAGATTGCCTAGATAAAAAGGCCCCAAATAAATATTTCAAAATATTTTTTATTTATATTTAGGTTTCTAATAAAGATGAGTTCTGACTAAGGCATGCCGATTAGTGGGGATTCTTTGTATTTATTGTGTATGAGTCATTCATACCATGATCTGCTACTTATTTTTCTTTTCTTTTTTACTGCCATAAGTAAGAAACTACTTTCACAACTAATTTTCTTATAATGTTTTAACTTGAGCAGAATGCCTTTATTTTGGGGGCAAGCCAGAGCTCTAGACGACTAGGTGGCCTATTTTGTACTTTTATAACTACTCTTATTTTTTTGGCCTTACCGTTTAGACCTCTGAATCATTTCCTTCTTTCCAATGAGTCTGTCTTTTTGGGCAGCCAGGAAGCCTAAGCAAGAGAAGAAGGAGTTTTCAGTGGATAGTGACTTAACAAGGTAGGGTGTGGTGTGCAAGAGCTGTGAGAAGAAGCTGCTAGGACTTTGTGCCCCTCTTGTGAGCTGACAGTGCTGGGTGGTCAGCAATGGCCAAGGCCAAGGCCAAGGCCAAGGTTAGACTATGGTAACTGTAACAGCAACCTGTCTCCTGAAGATACAACAGTCTGTGGTAGAGACTACACAGTATGAATCGAAACACTACCTAGTTTATAGGTAAGGCTGTGATGAAAGCAGTAGATAGTACTTTATAGTTTTCACAGCTTTCAAATATTTTTTTTATTGAGCTCTTACACCTAGCATAATTGTTAAGAGCACAGACTCTGGAGCCAGTCAACCTGGGTTCAGATCCCAGCCTATTAGGTGTATAATCTTGGGCATGGTACTTAACCTCTTCTTGCCTAAAAAGGGATATTAACAGTATCTACCTCAGGGAGGTGTTGTAAGTGTTAAACAAGAACAGTGTTTGGGTAAAACATAAAGGCTACATAACTATTATTACTACTACTACCACCACCACTACTACTACTACTATTATTATTATTGCCACCCTACGAGGTAGGCAAACCCGAAATCAGCCCCATCTTTAAAAATAAAAACATTATACTACTTTTGGAACGAACTTGCTCACAGACACAGATAGTTTATAAAAACACCATTCTCAATGCACACTCTCATTTTTAAGATGCAATGACAGGGCAAGAATAAATGTCACTTATCTGGATCATGAAAATGCTGACAGCTAAACCGGGCAGTTTTTGCTACCTAGGGAAATGTAAACCTCAGCAAGCAAAAGGTCACTTCCTGCGTGTGTAACTGGCTCAGCATTGAGCAGTGCTCCTCTTAGCAAGCCTCCCCTACCCCGCAAGAGGAAAGTGAACTACGCACCTCTCTTAGGGAGTGGGCATATGGGGTCCTGGTAGCTCTGCCATTCTTTCACAGTGTTGAACAGTGCCTCGCGCTCACTCTGCAACATGTTCTGCAGTTTCCTCTCCTGGACTATTAACTTTAGGCGTTTTATCCGCTCCCCAGAGCGGGAGATGAAGTCAGGTCTGTGAAGCTGAAGTGATTCCTGAGAAGGTGAAAAAGCCCCCGTCCTCACATTAATGATGCAGTCTGCTCTCCAAGGGCCTAGAAAAATAGTATCTGACCAATAGATTTGGAGAGCATATTTTTAAAGATGTTTTCTATTCTCTAGAAAGTATCTTAAATTGAAAAATAAACTAATAACTCTCTGTTGGGGAGAGCTCCAGTAAGGAAATGCCTTTGGAATAAACCAAGAACTAAGATTGTGGCAAGTAAACTCTCCCGAATGTCAATGGGAAAGAGCTCGGCCCATTGTGCTATTTTCAACTTCCCTTCAAATACATGATGAAATAACATTTCCTTTAGCTCTCAAGGGACATATAAAGAAGAGACTTGGCATCTTTTAAACCCTGTGTGAAGCAGGAATAGGAGTTATATAAATGAAGAAACAAATATATGGCTGATGCAAACATGAGGCCTCCACATGCAGGTGTTTGCAAACCCAATGAGCAGCATTACAACATCCTCCCCTTTATGACCTTGTCCCCAGATATTGAGGGTGACGCATGATTTGAAATAGTTAACAGAGTAAAACAGCCTTTAATTAATGATAAGAGTGAGAAAGATGAATTACAGAGGTGCTAGAAACAAGGGTCACATGTCTGTACTTCAAAGGCCAAGTCACAGATTTAACTTCCCTGTGTCTTGCCCCTTCTTCCTCCTTAAACAAAGGCTAAAATTAAATTGATGTTATTGTACCTGTAGGGATGCTCTCACAAATGGCTTCAGTGAACCTCTGCCTGGGCCTGCTGGTGACCAAGAGCGGTCCATGTGCTGACCCTGCCAGTTCTGTTCCCGTAGTGGCTCCCTCCAGGGTTTGGTGCTGGTTATTGGTGCAAACCAGGAGATACCAGGGCCATGAAACTCAGGCAGGTTTTCCTTCTTAGGACCAGTTCTCACATTTTCCACAGGAACAAACCAAGAAACTCCTACAGGAAATATTTTTAAGTAAGAGAAAAGAGTTTTCATTTTCTTTATCAGAGATGTGCATAACAGGCTCTCAGTGGACTCAGCTGTCAGAAGCCACCATGATGCCTAGGAGTCTACTGAACTGCAGGGATGACTCTGTAACTAGGGCTAGATACTCTAAAGTTGTTTCACTCCGCAATACCCTGCCCCCGCCCCGCCCAACCCCTCCCTCTTTGCCATAGGTGTACTAGGGTAGATGGGGTCAAAAACATAGAGTTATTTAGAAACAAAGAATCTTAGCATTTCAAGAGACTTGAAATTCACTAGTTTCTCTACTACAAAACCTGGAATTAGAAACTCACCTTCACAGCAACTCTGCTTGTTCTTCCGTAACTTTCTGTCCACAAGACAACTGGTAAGGGGCCTTTTCTCTTCTATTTTTTCTTCTGACCAAGAAGTCATATCACTGTCCTCTTCCACTCTAACCTCGCTAGAACTTGGAGTTGGGAAAGTCATCCCAACATCTCGAGTGTTTTTTTTGACACCATTCACAAGCTCCAAGTTACCTGAGGGGAAAGATCATAGATGTCTCTGGGTGCAGCCTTGAGACTTAGTTGGCAGGTATATTCAAGTCAGTAAATTAAAACTTTTTAAGGCTTTAAAAATGCAAGCTACTGACTTTGCTGGGTGTGCGAGAGAGGAGAGAGAAAGAGGGTTTAAGTCAGTTTAGATATTAGAGGGAAAGAACTACTAATATAGATTTAATGAGTGAAAGATTTCAGTTCTAATCCGACTGGCAGTCACTCAGGTGAGGAAGAGGTTGATAGACATAAAGACAAGTCTTGAGGGGAGAAAAAAATCAAGGGGGAAGTTTATTTTTGTTTTATAAAATCAAAAGATATAGAAAGGCATAAAATGAAAAGCCTCCTTCCCACTCTTGTTCTCCAGTCACTCAGTTTTAACCCCATAATTCCAGAATTTTTTTTGTACACATTCAAGCAATTCTCTTTATTTTTTTAAATATATGTAGTAGCACACTATACACTGTGCTGTACCTTGGTTTTCTTTTTAATTATATATCTTGGGGATCTTGACATATTAGTAGAGAGAGAGCTCTGTCACCCTATGTAGAATTTCATTATATGGATGTGCAATAATTTATTTAACCATTTGGCTACTGATGGACATCTAAGTTGATTTTAATTTTCTGCTATAACAAACAATACTTTAATGGTTAACTCTGTACACTTCTCATTTTGCACATATGTATTATATATCGGTTGGCTAAATTCCAAAAGTAAAAGTATTGGGTGAAAGTAATTTTGATAGAAACTGCTAACTTACCTGTCATAGGGATTGTACTTCCAACTTATACTCCCACTAGAATGTATGAGAGTACCTATTTCTTTACACTCTTGCCCATGAACTTGCTATCCCACTTAGATTTTTGCCAATCTGATAGGTGAAAAATAGCATGAGCATAGATTTAATCTTCATTTATTATGAGTGAGGTTGAGTATCTTATGTTTAAGAACTATTTGCATTTCAATGGAAAAAAATTTAAATTCAAGTAATTTACCTGCTTGCACGCCCTTATTTACCATATGTACATTTTGCTTGTTGCAAAAGGTAGAGTTTGAGCTCCAGAAACTACTGGTAGAAGATGAGTCAGAAGATATCATATGTTTTGCCACCTAGAAAAAACAAGAGACCCTGTTATCATTATCTGTAGGCAATGGCACAATTACCCACACGATAGGAAAACATACTAAGTTACCAAGAAGAACCCTTTCCAATCCAATTCAAATTGTTAGATGAAGTTGCCAGGAAACTTGTGACAATGTGAACATGGTACTACATAATTTGTGATAGGGAGGAGAATGCTGCTGTAGTTGGATAAGGGCCTGAGCCATTTCCAGAAAGACCAAAAAAACCCCACAAAAAAACAAAAAAACAAACAAACAAAACTCCCAACAAACAAATCAAAACAGCTGGGTATATTCCAAGGACTTGAAAACACCTTGAAGAGGATAGTAGCCCCAAATTAGCTTGTTGAGTTTTCAGAATGATATTCTGACTTGACACCTGAGTAAAATTTTGATGAGCGATAAAGGGCTGGGCATAATTAAAGAGAGTAATGAACTGGAAAGTGCTATCTAGTAGCAGATTCAGATACTTATACAAGGATAAATGCCACAGAGCTGAAAGGCCCCATGAGAAGTCCTGAATGAGCGGAGTATAGCAAAAAGCAATAAAGAGCCCAAAAAGCCTTTTTAGTTACGTTCAGAGCAAGTAGAACAATGAAGGAAAAGTTCAGGGATTGAAGCTTATGGTGGAATATTAGTGGATGACAAAAAAAAATTAAATATAAATAAATATAAAACAATATTTCTTAAACTTGCGTATCATAACAATCTCCTGAGAAGGGCTCTGACCCAGAGCAAAGAATTGGAATCTCTTGGGGAGGGGTGTAGGCATCTGTATTTTGAATGAATGCCAAGTGCTTATCTCCTTAAGTAAGTTTGGTAGATGTAAATTAAAGCCCAAATCAGGAAAGTTAAATAAAACATCTGCTTCCCTGAAGTAGATAAACTTCATTCCAGGGCAATGAAAATCTTTGAGGAAAGGAGCTATGTTAGATGTCTGGGGACAGGAAATGCTTTCTCAAAAAATTAAACATTTGCAAACTGGTAGGTTTAACACTGTTTACCTAATAAATTCTAGATGTATCACTAATTTGATAATTTGGAGGTCGAAGAAAAGATTAGCAAATTTCAACCAGGGCTTAGTAAGGCAGGCAGAACAAGCCCTGTCAGGTTAGCCTTGTTTTTCCTAGTAGATATGATCACTAACTGGCAGACCAAAAAAATGTGCAGCAGAGTACTAGATTTAAATCAAATGACAAAACTTCTCATGATCTTTGAGGGCAAGGTGGAGTTATATAGGTTGAAACACTCTTATCCAAATATTATTATCAACACAGTGAGAGGCCTTTACTGATATCTTGCATTCAACAACAAATATTTACTAAGAACTTACTGTGTGCCATTCACTTGTTTTGCTCTGGTTATTCCTTCTTAACATACACCTGGGAGGGCCTACATAGCTGTCAGAATCCCAAATAATAACAAGAATGATGGGCCAAATCAAACAAGGGATAATTGTAAAGCCCCACACAATAAACAAGAGAAACAGTAGCAACTCTGATGCAGTAGAAAAAGCTATGGGTCTGGAGTCCAAGACCTAAGCCAGTCTCAGATCTTCCCTTTACTTGCTGTCTCTACTTGAGCAAGCCATAACTTCTCCATGCCACTTTCCCCCTTCTAGAAAAGGGAATGCCAACATTTCTGAAATTACAGAAGTGTTAGAAAGAACACATAATTTAGATTATAAACAGTAAAAAGCCAATATAAAACTATGAGATTACTATTAGTTTAAAAAAATTAAAATGTATGAGTACAGAAAGGGTGGTGAGGAAGACAAGACTGGCCAGTAATATACTGCATCTCTGCAGCTGTAAAAAAAAAAAAAAAAAAAGGAAAAACACTTAGGTATGAAATGAATTGACTTTTCAAGATAGATTAAGTACAAAAAGCAAAGTATGCTGCCATCTTTGTGAAAAGGGGTAGAAAACATATGCAGTTATTTGCTTTTTAATGTATAAAAGACCTGGGAAAGAAAGAACCCAGATTATGGAGAGAGAGGGAAAACTGTTTTTATATGCAGATGACATGATCCTGCCTGTAGAAAATACGAAGGAATCCAGAGAGGTACTAGAATGAACAGTCAAGTTTAGTCAGATTGAGGAATATAAGATCAATTAAGATAAATCAATTGTTTCTACATTCTAGCAATGCGCAATCTAAAATAAAATTAAGGAAACAATTCCATTCATTTCATCATCAAAAAGAATATTTAGGAATAATATTAACAGAAGTGCAAGGCTTGCACTTTGAAAACTATAAAACATTGATGGGAGAAACTAAATATCTAAATCAATAGTGCGATATTCCACGTATGTAATTTAAACATAGGTAAAATATTGGAATAGACATTTCACCAAAGAGGTATGAGTGGCCAATAAGCATATGAAAAGACGTTCAACATCATCAGTCATCAGGGAAATGCAAATTAAAATCACAATATCATTTATACCTACTAGGATACTTGTAATAAAAAAGATGTTCAGAAGGAAGCGGAGAAACTGGAATCTTCACATATTGCTGGTGGGAATGTAAAATGGTACAGCCACTTTGGAAAACACTGGCATTTTCTTAAAAATTAAACATTAGCAACATATTACCCAGCAATTCCACTTGTAGGTATATACCCAAAATAAATGAAAATATATGTCCATACAAAAATGTTTACACAAATGTTCACAGCACATTATTCATATTATCCAAAAGACAGTCCAAATGTCAACTGGTAATTGGATAAACAAAATGTGGTATATCCATACAATGAAATACTAATCACCAATAAAAAGGAACTACTGGTACATACTACAACATGGATGAACCTGGAAAACATCACGCTAAGCTAAAGAAGCCTGATGCAAAAGACTATATATGATTGTATTTATATGAAATGTCCAGAAAAGGCAAAAGGCGAGTTTTAGGTTGTCTGGGGCTGTAATGCAGATTGATTACAAACAAGTACAAGGGACCTTTTTGAAGTAATGGAAATATTTTAAAACTGGATTGTGGTAATGATTGCACAACTCTGTAAATTTACTAAAAATAATTATACACTTGAAATAGATGAATTTTATGGTAAGTTATACCTCAATAAAGCTGTTTAAAAATCTCTGTAAAGATATGCAAGAACAGGTAACATTGAGTGACTCTGGAAAAGAGCTGGGTGCCTGGGGAACAAGCATGGGAAGAACACTATCAAATACTCTCCTATACATTTTAAATTTTGTATAATGCGATTGTATTACCAGTTTAAATGAGAATAAACAATGAAAACTTACAAAGAGGGTGGCAATAAAGATCTAATGGCTCTGGTGAGTTCAACAGGAGTAAAACATAAGTTAGGACACAGAAATGTAATAGCCACAGAAAGGAAGGTGATAAATCTGCCCTGGCAACATGCTCTCATCATCTGAAGTACAGCATGCTCAGTTCAGAGACAAGTTTAAAAATAGGATATTGACAAACTTGATAGACCCAAAAAGGAGAGGGGAGTAGAAAGCATGACCTGAGAGGAATGGTTCAGAGTGAAGACTGGAAAGAAAAACACACTTCAGGGGAAAAGTAGGGACCCAAGAGATAGAAGATTAGACCATTTTCTGTGGCGTCAGAGAGCAGAACTGGGAACAGAGCCAGGAAATCAAATGCAGGTAGAGTTTGGATCTTTTTAAGTTATAACCTTTGATAACTGGAGCCTTAGACAAACAGAAGGAACTGCCCACGAGCAATGAACGAGTAGTGGAGCTGTTGGAGTGCCTCGTGGTACAGAAGTAGAAGTGTTGATGGTCCCTTCCAAGCCTGAGTCAGAACTTCGTGCACTTTCAAAGGACACACCCAGTCATGGTATGCACCAGTGGTGTGAAAGAACACTTTTACATCTGATTAAATGAACCTTGGTGTGTGAGTTTGTTTCTAGTTGACTCTAATTCCTGCCTAGAAAAAAGTAAATATTTAAAAATAGAAAAGTCAAAAATAAATTCCCTTTCAACAAAATATATTGTCAGCCCTTTCTGAGTAGTGAAAATAAACAGGACATACAAAAATAGGTGTTTTCAAGGATGTGGAGGAATAGGAACCCTCATACATTGCTGTGGGAATGCAAAATGATGACAATACTTTGGATAGCAGTTTGGTAGTTCCTCAAAAAGTTAAACAGAGTTACATGTGATACAGCATATATCCACTCCTAAGCATATGTACACTCACCCCAAAAAGAAAACATGACTAACAAAAACTTGTAGATGAATGTTCACAGCAGCTTTGTTAATAGCCCCAAAGTAAAAGAAATCTAAATGTCCATTAACTGATGGTTGAATAAATAAAATGTGACATATTCATACAATGGAATAGTACTATTTGGTCATAAAAAAGAATGAATACATGCTACAATGTAGATAAACCTTGAAAATTATGTGAAAGAAGCCAGTCACAAAAGATCACATATTTGTTATGATTCCATTTACATGAAATGTGCAAAATAAAAAAAATCTAGAGACAGAAAGTAGATTAACAACCAGAGCCAGGGCTGGGGCAGGGGTGAGAGTTGGGAGGAATGAAGACTGTTAATGTGCACAGGGTCTTTTTGGGGTTGTTGAAAATGTTTTAAAGTTAGATCGGGCTGATGGTTGCACAACTCTGTGCATATACTAAAACACACTAAACCGTACACTTTAAATAGGTAAATTTTATGGTATGTGAAAGATCTCAAGAAAGCTATAAAATATATTTATTAATGTACATAGGCTGAAATACATGTAGATTATGAAGCTTTATTTGGAGGAAAAAGCTTCTCATGCTCAATTGTCTCTATGGTCCTGCATTTCCTGTTACTGAATCCAGGCTACAAGAACAATGGCAGTTGATCGACGATGTCATTTTCACATAATGGACAGTCCTAACAAAAATGTGTGTACTGTATGTTGTAGGTATGATGAAGCACTAAATACACTCTATGGCTAGAGCCAAGTACAAACTGTCAGAATCATGCAATTACGCCA